GCCTGTCCTGGAACTAGCTCTTGTAGACCAGGCTGGTCTCGAACTCACAGAGATCCGCCTGCCTCTGCCTCCCGAGTGCTGGGATTAAAGGCGTGCGCCACCACCGCCCGGCTTCTCTCTCTCTCTCTCTCTCTCTCTCTCTCTCTCTCTCTCCTTGATTTAATATCGGACATTGCAAATTACATTGGTGAATGCTGCCCCTTTTGGAATTCCTTAACTATTTCTGGGATTCATCTGGGAGTAGTAAAAATATGTGGCATCAATTTGTTCCTCTGAAGGATGAAAGTTGGGGATGATGTTGTGGCGGGAGCCCTGGCAGGGATTTATGAGGCCGAAAGGAGTAGATGACAGGCTGGGCCCAGGTGCCTGGGGCCACAGACTTTCTGATACATCGTTGCCTTTCTTAGAAATAATCATTAGCAGCCTGGAGTTGGATTTTGTTGCAGTGATAAATTTCCAATAAAGTTGCTGTATTCTTGGTACCAAATATTCAAGGTTTTGTTTGGTTTAGTTTGGTTTTACAAGACAGGGTTTCCCTGTGTAACAGCCTTGACTGTCCTGGACCTCACTTTGTAGACCAGTCTGACTTAGAACTCAAAAAAGTGCTGTGATCAAAGGCATGTGCCACCACACCCAGATATCCAAGGTATTTTTTAAAAAGGGATTTATTTGGGCGCTAGCAAGATGGCTCAGAGGTTAAGAGCTCTGGCAGCTCTTCCAGAAGTCCTGAGTTCAATTCCCAGCAACTGCATGGTGGCTCACAACCATCTGTAATGAGGTCTGGCGCCCTCTTCTGGCCTGCAGGCAGAATACTGTATGCATAATGAATAAATGAATGAATCTTTAGATTTATCTTTAGAAAAAAGATTTATTTTTATTTATGTGTATTGGGGAGATGCTCATGGAGGTCAGAGAGACCCTCTGATTCCTTGGAACTGGAGTTACAGGCAGTTGTGAGCCACCCAACATGGGTGCTGAGAACTGAATTCATATCTTCTGAAAGAGCAGTCAGTGCTCTTCAGGACTGAGTCATCTCTCCAGATCTCCGACTTTCAAGTTTTTAAGTTTGTAACATTTGGCCCTAGAAAGTAAAACACTCCACCTAAGAATGTACAAAAACTAGGAGCAGGTGGCAGGGCCGGTGGGTGCACAATGTCCATCCAGTCTCACCTCCAAAGCCCAAAGGCAGTGTGGTCAGGTCTCTGCCCCGCCCCTCAGCCTTCGCAAGGCTTCCTGCTTCTGAGCTCAGTTACTGCTCACCTAGGGCCCTACAAGGTTCCTAATCCTAGGCTTTCTTGGAAGAGTGGACTCCTGTCCTCGGTGAATGAGAATGTATGTGTCATTTCAGGAACCGGTGACTTTCAAGGATGTGACTGTGGACTTCAACCAGGAGGAGTGGGGCCAGCTGGACGCTCTTCAAAGGGCTCTGTATCGGGAAGCGAGGCTGGAGAACTACCAGAACCTCCTTGCCCTCGGTAAGATGGCGCCTTTAAAGCTGGATGTCTGCTGTCAGCTTTCTTCCCACGCCGTGTTAGGGAAGAGTCCTTCAGGATTAGTGCTGGCGGTCCAGGGTCAGCCATGCCAGAAGGAGCCGTAAAGCCACACTGGCTTTGAGCTGTGACTGTCCCAGAGCTGGGCCATGTAAGAGAGAGAAGCCTGATGAAAAGGTAAGGTGGGAGCTAGGAGCTTTAGAGCCTCTCCGCCCCGGAGCTTTATCAGGTGACCAAGCAGGATGCCGTGTATGGACCTGAAAGTGCGTGCTGTGGCGGAGTCCGCATCTGCCACGCTTCAGTGATTTGGGGCCCACGGGTCTCGTGTCCTGGTGGTGGCGCCCCCTTACAGTGCGCTTTGTCCTTCGAGGCTTCTAGGTAGAGCCATAGCACATCAAACCCTGCTGTCTCCTCCAGGAGCAGAGCCTCCACCCCACAAACCAGAAGTGATCTCCCATCTGGAGCGAGGTGAGGAACCCTGGGAAGAGCTCCGGAAAATCCCAAGAGAGGTTTGTCCAGGTGAGCAAGTGCCGCAGGAAAAGGGCCACAGGCTTCTCCGTGTCCCTTTTCCCCTCCTCGAGTAGCTCTCCCTGACATAGCCTTTCTCTCCTTGGCCCGACTGCTTTGACCCTGCCTGCACCGTCCGGTTCCCCTCCCAGCCTCCCAGGGTTCTCTCTCTGTCACCTTTTGAGTACCAGCTGTGTGTCAGAGAATTCAGTGCGCCAGGGAAGACAGCGCTGCCTTCTGACAAAGGGTGTCTGTGAGTGACACATGAGGAATAGAAGTCAGGGCCTTGCTTGGTGATGACACAGGTGGTGGGCAGAAGGGGAGAGAGGCAAGGCAGCACTGGGAAGGGGCAGGGCAACGCCACGTCACTGAAATCTCTTTGGCAGAGGAGAGTCAAGGGCAGATCCTCCATAGGAGGCTGACATAACTTTTCTTATTTTTTTTTTTTAAAAGTGGAGGGTGCTCACCCTGGCCTTGAAATCCCTATGTGGTTTAAGCTTGCCTCAAACTCAAAGTGATCCTCCTGCGTCAGCCTCCCCACTACTGGAATATAGTGTAAACTCAAACATCTTTTTTTTTCTTTTTTTTTTCTTTCTTTCTTTCTTTATTTATTAAATATTTCAGTCTCTTCCCCACCTCCGCCTCCCCTTTCCCTCCCCCTCCCCCAATCCATTCCCCCTCCCTCTTCAGCCCAAAGAGCAATCAGGGCTCTCCGTCCCGTGGGAAGTCCGAGGCAAACCCTCCTCCGTCCAGGTCTCGTAAGGTGAGCATCCAAACTGCCTAGGCTCCCACAAAGCCACTACATGCAATAGGATCAAAGACCCATTGCCACTGTTCTTGATGTCTCAGTAGTCCTCATTGTCCGCTATGTTCAGTGAGACCGGTTTTAACCCAGGCTTTTTCAGACCCAGGTCAGCTGGCCTTGGTGAGTTCCCGATAGAGCATCTCCATTGTCTCAGTGTGTGGGTGCACCCCTCGCGGTCCTGAGTTCCTTGCTCATGTTCGCTCTCCTTCTGCTCCTGATTTGGACCTTGAGATTTCAGTCCGGTGCTCCAATGTGGGTCTCTGTCTCTGTCTCCTTTCATCGCCTGATGAAGGTTAATATTCAGGAGGATGCCTATATGTTTTTCTTTGGGTTCTCCTTCTTCTTTAGCTTCTCTAAGAACCCGAATTGTAGGCTCAATGTCCTTTATTTATGGCTAGAAACCAAATATGAGTGAGAACATCCCATGTTCCTCTTTTTGGGTCTGGCTTACCTCACTCAGGATAGTGTTTTCTATTTCCATCCATTTGCCTGCAAACTTCAAGAAGTCCTTGTTTTTTACTGCTGAGTAGTACTCTAATATGTATATATTCCATACTTTCTTCATCCATTCTTCAATTGAGGGGCATCTAGGTTGTTTCCAGGTTCTGGCTATTACAAACAATGCTGCTATGAACATAGTAGAGCATATATTTTTGTTGCATGATAAGGCCTCTCTTGGGTATATTCCCAAGAGTGGTATTGCTGGGTCCATGGGTAGGTTGATCCCAAATTTTCTGAGAAACCGCCACACTGCTTTCCAGAGTGGTTGTACAAGTTTGCATTCCCACCAGCAATGGATAAGTGTACCCCTTTCTCCACAACCTCTCCAGCATAGGCTATCATTGGTGTTTTTGATTTTAGCCATTCTGACAGGTGTAAGATGGTATCTTAAAGTTGTCTTGATTTGCATTTCCCTGATCGCTAAGGAAGTTGAGCATGACCTTAGGTGTCTTTTGGCCATTTGAACTTCTTCTGTTGAGAGATCTCTGTTCAGCTCAGTGCCCCATTTTATAATTGGGTTGATTAGCCTTTTACAGTCTAGTTTCTTAAGTTCTTTATATATTTTGGAGATCAGACCTTTGTCAGTTGCGGTCAAACATCTTTTTTACTGAGTTCTCTTACAAAGTTGTTTAACAAAGAGGTGAAGGAGTTCATTTCAGCTAAATTGAATAGACAGTGAGGATTGACTATGTTAGGCCTTGGAAGCTTGAGAAAGACATTTCTGTGAGAATGAGACCAAAAATGATCAAAACAAAGTTATGTGTTTTGGGCAAGATTGCTGTGCCCAGGTAGGAGGGCACGGAGGTCAGGTCTCAACCCCATCTCTGTCTTCACAGCCCCAGTCCCCAGACAGCTGCAGGTACCTAGGTAGTCAGAGACCCTAGGTCTGGCCCCAGTTTCTTCTGCCTTCTTTATCAAAATTAATTTTTTTAAATTTTGTTTTGTTTTTGAGACAGAGTTTCTCTGTGTAGTCCTGGCTGTCCTGGAGGCCCAGCTGTCCTTTGGAGACCAGGTTGGCCTCAAACTCACAGAGATTCTCCTGCCTCTGCCTCCTGAGTAGCGGGATTAAAGGCGTGTGCCATCAAGCCCAGCCTACTTCTTGTATCTTTTTGAGAAACACTGTTACATTTCAAACTAAACTCCTTCGGATCGAGGAGAGAAGGGCCTAATTGCTCCTGGGCAGTTAGATAAAGGATAGTAAGTGGCAGTCAGTGGTGGATAAGGGAAACTAGGTGGGGGCCACCTTCTTCCACTTGCACCCCACAGAGTAGCAAATCCATCAACGCAGGCTGCCCTGGGGATGTGTTCCAGGCATTCCAGCTGTTCTGAGGGAATGCTAAAGAGGGCGGGGTGGCAGGCCTTTTTCCCTCGAGGCTCCACAGACCGTGTCCTTAGACTTGAGTTTATGCTGGTGCAGTCTATCAGTGCCTGTTTCCATGATTGAATTAGTTGCTGATCCCCAGGCCTCCTGAGATGAGCCCTCAAGGAACTGATTTGAAGCCCACGCGTGTTTGGTTGAAAGAGTCCCTTTGAGCAATTCCTTCTGTCACTCTGCTCTTGTGCCTTCAGACTCCCGCGTGCTTTTTGGTTCTTAATTTTCTGGTTTACCTGCATTTCTAGGTCAGCAATCCAGTCTGAGTTCCAGGGCTTACCCACAGAAAATTCCACTTTAATCTCTTACAGGGTGGAAGGCGGAGCCTGAGTTGATGGAGAAGGACCTTTACAAAACAGGGCTCAGAAGCTGGTTCTGAAGCAGCTGAAGAGGCCAGGTCAGATGGGAGCCAGCTTGGGTGATACCGGAACCTGGGAGCTGCAGGATGACGCGGTGTTAGGGAGCAAGGTTGAAGCCAGCTCCTATTGCCAGTGGGGACCGCATAAAGGAAAGTCACAGCAGATACAGGGCGTCTGAAGAGGTCCTCTCCTCCCAGCAGGGCACTCCCACAGAAGAACACTCACCTGGCAGATGCACCAGAGGCGCCCAGCCCGCAGAGGGACTGGCCCAGAACCACCAAAGTATACACTTCCCGCTTCCCGTCAGAAGAGCCCGGCAATCCCCAGTGGAGCACAGAAAGCATTGGATGGGCCGGGATGCCCAGGAGAGCAGGTTTGCCTGCAGCCAGTGTGGGAAGGTGTTCCTGCAGAGCTCAGCTCTGGCACTGCACTTGCGCTGGCACGAAAGCAACAAGGCCTTCCCCTGGAGCACCGACCTCCTGGAGCACCAGCGCAGACGCTCTGGCGAGAAGCCCCTTTCCTGCCGTGAGTGTGGCAAGGCCTTCAGCTGCCACTCATCTCTCGGCGTGCACCACCGCATCCCCGCGGGCTAGAGGCCCTATAAGTGCGGCGGCGCCTGCGAGAAGGCCTTCAGCTACAGCTCTCTGCTCAGCATGCACCGCAGGGTGCACACCGGGGAGAGGCCGAATGCGTGCAGAGTGTGGCAAGGCCTTCAACCAGCGCACGCACCTCACTCGCCACCTCCGCATCCACACCGGCGAGAAGCCATACAAGTGCGGGTGCGGCCAGGCCTTCACCTGCCACTTCTCACTCACAGCTCACAGTGCACGAGAAGATCCACAGCGGCGACAAGCCATTCGAGTGCGCGGAGTGCGGCAAGGCCTTCCACAGCCTCACGGGCCTCACCCTCCATCAGAAGACGCACACGGGGGAGAAGCCATTCCTGTGCTCCAACTATGGGAAGGCCTTCAGCTGCCATTCATCCCTCATAGTGTATCAGCGCATCCACACCGGCGAGAAGCCCTACAAATGCCACCAGTGTGGCAAGGCCTTCAGCCAGAACCACTGTCTTATCAAACACCAGAAGGTTCACTCCAGAGAGAGGCGTCCAAGTGCAGCGAGTGTGCAGGGGAGGCCTGCAGCTGGAGCCCACACCCCGAGCACCAAGTACCAGACGTTGCACTGCACGGAGAAACCTTTCGCCATCCAGCTCAATAGGCACCTGCTGAGCACCTGCTGAGCACCTGCTGGGCACCTGCTGGGCACCTGCTGAGCACCTGCTGAGAAGGGAACACCCAGGCGAGGGGCATGGACTCCACAAACACCTCGGGTGTAGCAAAGCTCTGTGTGCGGACAGCCTCCGGCCAGTAGAAACTGCCCTTTGGAAAACAAGTCTGTCTATAATGACACTAACTGGCCACTTCCCCAATTACCCAAGTAATGTGTATCAACTCTCTGGCTCTCAGAACCAGACTGCTGTCCCTCTGAAAGGCCTTGAGGTTGTCTCACAGCCATTCCCTCACACTAAATACGGTCACTCTGGGGAAGGGACAAGCTACAGAAGAGATCTGAAGTTATCGCACCATCGTGTTTTCCTTAGCGGGGCCAGAGGTCACTAGTGGGGTATCATGAGACGGGGTTTCCTGTAGCCTAGGCTGGTCTAGCTGGGAATGCCCTTGAAGATCTATTCAGTCCTCTTGTCTCTACCTCTAACGAGATGACAGGTATGTGCAAACTTCATGCTGGGGACTGAATGGGGACGTCAGGCATGTTAAGCAAATTCTGTACCAACCGAGTCCCTTTCCCAGCCTGCGAGACTGTACCTGGCTGGCTGGTTTAGTTTTTAGAGACAGGGACTCTGGTTAGCGCTGGCTGTCCTGGAAGTCACCTGGTAGACCAGGCTGTCTCTGCCTCCTGAGTGCTGGATTAAAGGTGTGTGCTACCCCACCCAGCTAATAAATCTCTCTGTGGAAATGTGGGTAGAGAGGCGTACACCAGAGGTGTAGCTCAATGGTAGAACGAGCCAGGGAAAGAATGTCTCTCTAGTCTACATCGGCTGCACACTCACTGTGCCGGATGATCTGAAACTCCTGATCCCCCCCCACTTCCTCCTCCCATGTCCTGGATTACAGGTGTGCACCGTTAAGCTCAGCTTCAACAAAAAGTAGAAATTGAAAATGTGAAACTTATCTCAGTCGTAAAGAATTTGCCTAGAAAGCACAGGTTCAAGCCCCAGCACTAAAGAAAAGATTGAACAGACATAATTTCTGATAAACGTATGCTTTGATGCACTGCCTTCTTCTGTGTCCCCTGTAAACTTTTAAATTACTTTAAGTACGTATAGTTTATCCTTTATTCGTGTTGCAACAGTATAGTTTTTTTTTTCTCACAAATACCTGAACTCTGTGGGGGGGAGTATAGTGTGTATTGTGGGGTGTGTGCATGTGGATGGGTGTGTGTGTATGTGTGTGCTGTGTGTATGTGTGTGCACTCATGTTTGTGTTCATGTGCGTGCCTGCCATGTGTGCCCACACACTCATGGAAGCTGGAGGTTGATATGGGGAGGGTCTTCCTCTATTGACTTCACCATTTTTTAAAATGTTCACTTGTGAGTTGGAGAGACTGTTTTCTCAGAGGACACAGCACTCACCGCAGCCTGGAACTCCAGCTCATGAGCTCAAACTCCTGTGCTCTCTAAAGGCACCTCCACGCATCTGTGCACACCCATACCTAGATATGCACCCGCCGCGCACATGCCCGTGCACACACACACACATTTAAAATAAAAAAAATTCTCAAATATTTGCATAGGGACACTGTGTGCACTTTGTTATGCACACAGAGATCTGAGGACAACTTCTAGGAGCCTTTTTTATTTTTCTTTTTCTTTTTTTTTAGTATTTAGTTTTTCAAGACAGGGTTTCTCTGTAGGTTTTTGAAGTCTGTCCTGGAACTAGCTCTTGTAGACCAGGCTGGCCTTGAACTCACAGAGATCTGCCTGCCTCTACCTCCTGAGTGCCAGGATTAGATGCCCTAAAACTGGAGTTACAGCTGGTTGTGAGCTGCCAGTCAAACTCAGGGCTCTGGAAGAGCAGTCAGGGCCCTTAACTGCTAAGCCATCTCCAGTTCCAGAGATAACATTTTTTTAAAAAGAAATTAGACTTTAAAAAAAAGAAATGTGACTTTAATATCAGCAGTTGGGAGGCAGAGGCAGGTGGATCTCTGAATCTGAGGCCAGCCTCGTCTACAGAGTGAGCTCCAGAACAGCAAGGCTACACAGAGAGATCCTGTCCCAACATAAATAAATAAGGGAGAGAACCATAGAGAAAGACACCTGGTGTCTCCATATTCCACAAACACTCACACACAGATTAGGGGGCTCTGGAGAATTGGCACGGAGGCACCAGCATGGAACCCCGAGATCTGATCCCCAACGCATACACCCTCTCAGCATTGCACCAGGGACAGGCAGGAGGAGCCTTGCTGACTGCCGGTCTAGCTCCAGATTCCTAAGAGACCAGGAAAAAGGTAGAGTGGTATAGCAGGACACCCGATGTCCTCCTCTGACCTTTGCAAATGAACACATGGGTACACACACTTGTACAGCACCTACACTAAACACATGCGCACCAAAACCCACTTAGGACTTGGAGTCAGTAGCACATGCCTCTGTTGAGATCCCAGCACCCATGTAGAAACCAGGATTAGTAGCATGCTTGTCCTTGCACTGCTGGGGATGCAGAGACAAAAGACCCTAGGGCTTGTAGGTCTAGCTAAATTGGGAAACTCAGGAATCTTTCGTCAAGGGCTGTTTACCTTGTTTTTGGAGACAGCAACCTAGGGCTTGATGACGGTGCTATGCTGGCTAGTAAATCCCAGGCCTCTGCCTGTGCCCTTTATCAGTGCTGCGGTTTCAAACATGCCTGTTACCAGCAGTCCCCTGATGTGAGCATTGGGCATGAAGCATGACCCCTCCCTCATGTTTGTGCAGCAAGCACTACCACCTGGCCTGCTCCCCCATCCCCTAAAGCTGTATAAACAAGCGAAGGAACCGAGACAGGGGGCAAGAGGTCGATCTACACGGCCTGGATTGCCTCATTTTTAAATTCCTGTTCTAATGTGAGTCCTGGTCCCAGTTCACGGGAGTAGGAATTTGGAAATTCACTTGATGAATCCAAGAAATGACCCCAACCCCAGATTTGCACGCCGGAAAGAGCCCAGAAAGGTCCTCCGAGAGCCACTGGTCTCCAAGTCACTATCAGAAGCCCCAGGTTCTCGTTACAAACTGCTCTCAACTTTCCAGAAGTGAAAACCTTAAAGATCCAGGAGTTGTGTTCAGGCCAGCCTGGTCTACATAATGAGTTCCCGGACAGCCAGGGGTGCAGAGTCTCCCTGTCTCAAACAAAGAATGAGCACACGACATACACACGACAATTATTTTTAAGTTTTAAAATATAAGCCTAGTTAGTGGAAAGTCTGTGAGTCTGGGAAGTGCCCGCAAAGTGGGCAGTGACACCCTCCTAAGGACTCACCCTCCCTTGCTCCACTTCCCTGTGCCATCCAGTCCCTGCCACGGGTTCCCACCAGCCCGGCCTAGCCCGTGTTACAGTGTTCTTCAAGCTGCTGCTCTAGCTGCTCCTGCCGGTGAAAAACCTGAGCCTGCCCCCCACCTCGGTGCTGTTTGTTGCAGAACAAACAGCAAGGCTATTTTTCCACACTCTTGTTTGGGTTCCAGATATTCTAGCAGTTGACCACTAGATGGCACCAGAAGAATATGTCTACCTTAATAACAGTGTTCAGAGAGGTCCCATCTTTGGTCTTAAAATAGCAAGGGTGTCCTGCCACACAACAGACAGCAGTGTGATTGAAATGGCAAATGTCGCGCCTCTAAAATGAATGCTTTAAGCACTTGCTTCTCAACGTGGACATAAAATCTGGACACTGGATATAGTGGCGTACACCTTTAATCCCAGTTCTCAACAGGCAGACAGGTGTGTGTCTCTGTGAGTTCGAGGCCAGCCTAGTCTACAAAGAGTTCTAGGACAGCCAGTGCTATATAGTAAAACCCTGTCTTTAAAAAAATAAAAAAGTTGGGGGCTGGTCTGGAGAGATGAGGCAGCAGTTAAGAGCTTCTGCTGCTCTTGCAGAGGTCCTGGGTTGATTTCCAACTCCCACATGGTAGGTAGCTCACAGCCATCTGTGTGATTCCAGTTCCAAGGGACTCGGCACTCTCTTCTAGCTTCCACAGACAGCAGGCAAACACTCATACATACAAAATAAAAATCGGAAAGCCGCTGGAGATGTTAGGAGCATAGCTTAGTTGGTAGAGTGCTTGCCTAGTATAAACAAAGCCCTGAGTTTCATCCCTAGCACTGTTTATATTAGGCGTGGTGCTGAACACTTATAATCCCAGCACTTAGAGATAAGGGTATCAGAGGCTCAAGTCATCCTCAGCTACAAGGCTAGTATGAGGCCAGCCTGGGCTACAAGACACACTGTTTGGGGGCTGGAGAGATGGCTCAGAGGTTAAGAGCACTGACTGTTCTTCCAGAGGTCTTGAGTTCAATTTTCAGCAACCACATGGTGGCTCAAAATCATCTATAATGATACTTGGTGCCCTCTTCTGGCCTGCAGGCATACACGCAGACAGAGCAATGTATGAATAATAAAAACATCTAAATAAATAAATAAATTGAAAGAAAGAGAGGGAGGAAGGAAGGAAGGAAGAAAGGAAGGAAGGAAGGGAGGAAGGGAGGAAGGGAGGGAGGGCAGGAGGCAGGGAGGGAGGGATGAAGGAAGGAAGGGAGGAAGGAAAGGAGGGAAGAAGGAAGGAAGTAAGACTATTTGGCAAAGAAAAAAAAGCCACTGGAGTAGTTTCCATGTTGCTGTGTGCAACAAGCAACTTTGGGGTCACTGTATCCATCGACACTCTGATACCCTGCACCCTTCCCAGCAGCCAGGCAGCTAGACAAAGGCTGCTGCAACTGGGACACCTAAGAAGATGCATGACGCAGCAAAAGACTTTGCAAACAGGGAAGCTGTTACCTTATCCCAAACAACTTTCTTTTTCTTCCTTCCCAATTGCTTTTGTTGTTGTTGCTCGTTTTGGTTGATGCTGAGGATTGACCAGGATATTGTGCATGCTACACCTCCTGTTTTTCCGGGTCACAGTTCTCAGATGACTCCCAGTACTGTCTCAACACATCTGGGTGTTTCAGGGGCATGCACATGCTGTGGAACTCTGTCTTTCTACCTATGGACTGAGTGTGCTTTTCCATGTCTTTCCTGTGTGTCTGCATATTGGGCTATGGTGTGTGTGTGTATGTGTGAGAGAGAGAGAGAAACAGACACAGAGACAGAGACAGTTGTGGTCAATGTCTTGATATTCAGCTGGCTTTGGTAGAGCACATGCGTGTTACAGGTTGTGGTGCTGTGTCCCTGTATCGAGTGTGTGTGCCACTGGTGGAGCTGTAGATGGCGGGAGAGGAGTGTCTCTCAACGTTCTTGCCAGATGACAATGGTGTGTATGTTGCAAGTTTAGGTGAGCGCTCCTGGACATGCCTTGACATTTTGTCTAGTACAATGGTATGTGTCACAGAGAACAGGTTTAGTGAGTGTGCTGAGTGTTTGCCTCCCATTTCTGCATGTGTGAGGTCAGTACTTGCCTCTGTTTCATCACATTAGGAGTTGTGTGTATGCATGCTGCAAGAAATTCGGTCTCCGTGTGGAAGGTATCCCATGTGATTCATATGATATGATCCAGTTCTTTCACCATGCCTGAAGTGTGTATGTTGCAAGGTGTCTTGCTGTGTCCCCGCCCTTCATCTATGTGTTTTGAGGGCTGATAGTCCTCTGCATTACTGTGGGCTGTCTGGACATGTGTGTGGCAGGGTGTGTGTCCCTTGGTGTGTATGTGCAGTGCCGCAGTGTGTCTGTGTTGGACATGAAGGTCCATTTCCTCCTACTGGATGATATGTCTAGCTGCCCCTGTGTCCCAGGGAGTTCTGGAGCCTTGATGAGTATGTCTCTGCTTCTTTGGATGCAGTTTGTGTGCAGTGCATGCTGCCGTGTGTTTGTTCTGTGTTTCAGGGCTTCTCTGGTTTGTCACATGTGTGTGTTTTGCATTGAGTGTGTTGGTATTTCTATGCACCTAATGGCAAATGTATGTATGCCACACACCAGACAACTGCTGGTGTGTGTGCGCGTGCACACACATGTGTGTCT